TTATTGTCCCATTATTATAACTTTACTTGGAAAGTGAGGCGCTAAAAACCTATCTGTGAAGAAGTTTAGCCTATTTAATTTTGGCCCTTACCTATTGCCAAGTTGTGCAGGTCTGAACTACACAGACCCGTTGATTTAAATAAGATTTTATTCCACATACTAAAAACACCACAACTCTGATTCCATCGTGCCCTATATTCATTAAAAATTACACTAGCAGAATTCAACAAATTAATGAATAACTAATAGTCAAATATGCTGAAACAGATTACCTTATCAATGGATTTATATACTGTTTATTATTTATTTATTGCTGACTGCCAAAGGCAGTTTACAATCAAAAACAGTTAAAATCGGGACATAAAAGCAGAAAGGCCATAGCAGGGCCTTTTCAATGCTGACATCCTTCTGTGGAACAACTTGTCCCCATATATAAGAACCATCTTCCCCAACTGAGTTTTTGAACAGAGCTAAAACTTGACTCTGAGAGATCATTTGGGGGAGATTAGGGTTTTTTGTTGGGGGGGGGAATACTTCTATTGTTTAGTGCCAATGTATCCATTTGAAATGGGTCAAGATAATCTGCATCTACCTAAATTGCCTACCTTGAAGAAGCCACCACTCCATGGATGTCTGCAATATGTATGTATGTGTCAAAATCTGCAAGATAGCAAGTGCAGAATTGTAACTGAAGCCCACCCCTTTGTATGGGCATACATGACATCATGTGTATCATGCTGCAAAATGGTTCAGGTACAGAATTCATGTCATTTGTGTGATGATATCATGACACATGCAATATTGTTTTGGCATTACAGTGTAAGGCTTTTACCAGATACCGATGCACATTACATGTTGGATGACTTTGGTTATTTTATTTATTTGTTTGGGTGCCTTCAAGTCAGTCTTGACTCCTGGGAACTCATGGTCTCCTGGTTTCCAGCCTGGTGCCTTACCCACCACACCAAACTGGCTCTCTATATAAAATAAATAAAACAAATACTAACAGTTGGTATTATTTCTTCAAACTCCCTTTACGTACCACAGGACCACCATGGAATTTTGATGAGGTTCAGTGATAGATATGCAAAAAAATCAGAAAGTCTAAGGGGCAATTTGTTTTCACAGTGCTGTACAACCCAAACTAGGCAAGGATCCAGAGGACAAATAGTGGGACATATTGCTCCAAGTCACCCTGTCCGCATATTCAAACTGAGTACTGATCCAGTCTAACTATCCAAAAAAAAGTGCCTAAGCACTCCATTGGTGACACTACATCAAAGGTGGCATCTAGACCAGCCCAGGTGATGAGAGCTTTTTGGCAAACTAATTGAAGACATTGCAACAGACCTTTAAAGGTTCTGTAATCAAATGCTGGAGGAGACAGGCAGGTGAGAGTCTCTTCACAATGCCAAACAACTCAGTTGTGTCGAGCATTTCGTGGAGATACTGTACTTTTTCTTTTCTAACATGGAAGCAATTTGATGGAGTATGTCAGTATCCCAACAATGAATGAAAACCACAGTTTTTCCATAATGTGCATCTAACTCAGTTCTTGGCAATACTGAAAATGCATTGCTTTATGTTTTAAAATTACAGATCTATTTTTGTGGCTGCCACATTGGAATCCAAATGAATTGAGTAAATACTGAAATATTCCTAACTTACTGTATTATATTTTAAAAATCACAATTATCCCACATCACTCTCTGCATATCATCTCCATGATGCCCTACATATGTTTGGAATCCTTATAGGACAAAAAAAATATCCAGAATTATAAACAGAATTTAAAGTATATTTTAAAAATTAACTAAGACCGAGAAGAAAACATCCTAAAGCTGGACGCAAAGCATGCGGATCTCACCTTTTAGTAAAATTCGCAATATCTTTCCAGCGCCAAGAAAAAACAACCACTTTCCTGACATGTACCAATTATACTGCACGATTTTTTTAAAAAAATTATTATTATGATTGCCCACATCAAATATGGCATTTAAAGATCCTCCGCTTTTAGGGTTAAAAATGGCCGTCCTGTGAACGTCACTTGGAACTGCGAGAAGTGAAGTACGGCTGCGCGAAGCTGAAAACGGAAGAGATGAATTCGGGCCGGAGACGCCGGTGGATTCTGGTTGGTGATGGCTGGGTAGGCAAAACTCTTCATGACTTCCTTGAGGGTTTTTTTTCCCTTCTTCGTTTATAGTAGCCTATCTCGTTAAAGAGTTTTGTTATAATTCTCCTCCGCCTTTGTTCCTTTATAGAATGTTCGTTCTCAGTCCTTCGAGTTTGAGGTAACCCCTCTCCGTGGACGTTCTAGAACGGTTTATGTCGCGGTGGACGGTTAGCTCGCCGCCTCTTGGTCTCCTGCGCTTACAGATTCATGCCCCGAGTCAGACTACCCACCCATCCTTTGAGGTATTTCTTTGGGCTTCTTCTCTAATGCCTGTCATGCTGAATGGCAGAGCTGAAGGATGCTTCCCAAGCTCCCATCTATATTCCCAAATTCAATTCTGAATTCTGGGAGTTGAAGTCTACACATCTTAAAACTGCCCAGGTTGAGAAACACTGATCTAGACCACAGAAGCCTGTACACAAGAATAAAAGGGTATTGCAAATGTATATGTGTGCTATGTGGTGGTCAGTTGTAGAATGTGTCACTTTCCTGTTATACTCCTGTGGAAAATGGCATGAGACGTATGCATCCAGTTACCTACTTGTGCATGAAATTCTCACCTTTCTTCTCAGAGTGGGCCTTTCCATCCCAATTTTCTGAGCTTTTGTAGGGGCAGCCATGGCAGTGTGCAGTGCCCATCACCCGGTGCCAAAGCCTCCAAGTATGTCCAGTTTCCTTTACCATTTATTTCTGCCTGAAATGAATGGTTCCTGGTATCATTGGCCCACAGATTTAAGTTGTACTTACTTTCAGAAAATTGAACAGGGGAGAGGATTTTCCTGCCAGTGTTTTTCTCTTTTTGAGCCCTAAAATTAGTTGCAACCTAATATAGTGTTCATAACTCCAGTTTTCTGCAGCCTGGATACCACGCTGTGGAAGGTTGCCTTATCTTTATAAAGTTATGTAAACAAAAACAAACAGGTTTCTGAGGACTTTACTCTTAAAATAGATGGCCTAGCTATAGAACAAGGCACAGCATTTTCTTCCTTAGGAAAAAAGTGTTTAGATTCCAAAAGAGCTGATTAAACATGGAATACTAATGCCATCCAACAAACTCTTACGGGTTTTTCTGTGTTCAAAAATGCACAAAGTCCATGAACTTTAGTGTGATTTTCTAGGTATCTTAAGCTGCCAAGCATTTTCTTTTGAGTATGAATATTATGGTTTGCTTCTCATTAATGGCTTAGATAAGCAACATCTTGACTAAAAATTTAGATTGAAAATGCTTCTGGTTATAATTGTCAAAGGGTTGAATTTAGTTTCTTGTAAGAGGAAGTAGATCAGATAACATTGCTGGGAAATGAGAAATAATTTCCTTGTTTGTTTAACTCATACATCATGGGATAGTAGTGTTTATTTGTGGTTGGCTGTCATTGGAGGTCAATTTTGCATGTGAAAATCTTAATTTTAAATGCATCTAAGAATCTATTCTGGCCGTGAAAGCCTTCGACAACACATCAGCCATCTAAGAATCTGTTTTACATTTTTCTTACTCTTTCTCCTTCCCTCTCCAATATACTGTATTAGATTCCTATTTGGATTTTTTTAAACTAATAATTCTGTTCAGGTTATGGTGAAATAAAATTATGTAGATTTAATTGAAAAAGGTCAAATCTACCTCTGAATTCAGAAGACACCATCCAGTGCAAAACTTGTGTTTTTTGTTTTTAGCATGTTATCTGCCAATGCCTTCAGGTTAAGGTAATGAGTGTACCAATGTGCCAGGTGAACTGCTGCAGAAGTTCAAGTATTGTAGTTCACATATTTCATCTTACTGATCTTTAGGCTTGCCATAATCTTCTGAAAGGAGCCTTGGAAATAACTTGTGCTTTCAAGAGGCTTAAACAGCACACACATTTGCTGTGTTTCTTGTTTTTTCCCAGAAAGGGGAGAAACCCTTCTATAGAAAAAGCATCTCAGAAGTTAGTCTATAGCTGCATAGGAACAACATGCTGAGAGACTTAGAAGGAAACCACATTTCAGCCTTGAATATTGTAAGAACTCACTCTGTGTGGTTGGTTAATAATTCAGTGTGTTATATCAACCCAGAAAATTGAGTAAACCTTGATTCAACTAACCATGAGTATACATATTGTGTGAACATAGCCTGCATAAAAACTGAGAATTCAATATATTATAGCCCAAAGACCTCTGGACAGCACCCATGTATGGGAAGGTGGCTATAATATAAAATAAGCACACTAAAAGTTATACATTCAGCATCCCTTCTTATATAATATTAGTAATACATTTTAGCCTTCTTCAAGATTAGAGTATGAATTCCATCATCCCCATCCAGTCCCACTACTAGACATTTGAGATACAAGGTTAGGACATTCTAGTTTGTTTAATTTTAAATTAACAAACGGATTGATTTTGTACACTTAATTAGGAACTATGAAGAAGTATCAGCAAAACAGTAGGCTTGACTTGTATTACGAGCAACATATAAATGTCCAAAGTACAACATAGCAGTAAGTTTGATCTGAAAACTGCTGTCATATGATGTATAATTCCTTTGCTGTTGTTAAAATAACTGTGGTGTATAAATCCTATTATAAATTTCCTTTTGAACCACAGAGCAAGACTGAGGTTGGAATCCTTGTTGCAGTCTAAATAGTCTCTTTCTTTCTTTGAAAAAGGAGTAGGGAATGCATCAGACCTATACACTGAATTTCCCACTTTCTTGTTGTCTGTCCAACAGAGTTAATGATGGTTTGGTCCCACCAACAAGCCAGCAAGTGCTGGACAGAGAGATCATTTTGGAACTGGAGGTGATGTCCAGAACTTGAATCAACATGGGTTTCAGGCTATTAGCTTGTCTCTTCAACTTTCCTGTTGGAGTAGTCTATGGATCCCTGTCTCTCTTTATTTCAATTTTGCACAATGTGTTTCTCCTCTACTACGTGGACACCTTTGTTTCCATATATAAAATCGATAAACTTTCCTTCTGGATTGGGGAGGTAAGTCCTGAACTTTGAAAATCAGCATTAGGTGCTTCCTTTCTTCTTGATTTAGAATCCATGATGAAGCATGTGATATTTCAGAGATTAAATAAGCTTATTTGGCATAAATGTCATAGAAAAAGTCCAATAGATGCATAAACTGATATCCTCAATTAGCAAGTATGTTTGTATGTGAACATGTGGCAAATATATGTGTACTAAAGAATTAGCAGTGGTTGTGATTCAGTGACAGTGAAATGTAAAATCTGTAGCTTGCTATTATTCTGGGTAAAGTTTAAAATGAATGGTGGCTATTTATAGCAGCAGTAATTGGTCTGATAGAATATGGCATAAGCATAAAAAAAACTTTTTATATAGATTAGAGGTATGCAGTATTCAGATCCAAAGTGGGTAAAAGTGCGTTGGATCGGGCACCCTTGATGTAATTTTCAGCAGCTCCTTAAAAGGGTATATATAGTTATTTCTGTTTTTGTGTTCATTCTTCCCCAATATAGGCAGGACTAACTTGTAAGATGAAAGATTAGGTTAAATATTTCAACATCTAAGTCTCACTCTTTGTTTTTCCTAGACTGTTTTTCTGATCTGGAACAGCCTCAACGATCCTCTATTTGGCTGGTTGAGTGACAGAGCTTTTCTTAGCACCCAGCAGTAAGCTGAGTTTCATTTATGTCCTACTTCAAAGTCTAAACAGTATAGGAAGACAGAGGGAAGCTCACTAACAATACAAAAGAACGTAATAATTAGAACAAGCATGTTTAATTAAACATGTCAGACTTCACACCAGTCACAGTAATACGTCTTGGCCCTCCAGACCTTCAGATTCCATACTCAAAAAGTAGCTTAAAACAGAAGTTTCACAGGAAAAAAGATAGCTATGTGGGTTACTTTACTACTGGAAAAAATGTCTCTTATTTTTCCCCTTAAGAGGGATGTCTTTTGCTTTAAATTTCCCTATAATTTGACAGGCTGTGAAGTAATCAAGTTTAACCTCCTGTATCAATTTAGACTGCCAACCTTTCAGAGACCTAGACTATATCAAAATGTTCCTTTTCTCTGAGTTTGGAGAAAGGCCTCCAACTCTTTAATGAGCAATTTGATGTTGGAAAATTACTTTCTACTTGTGTGCTGGTCTCTGAGGACAGTTTTCCTGAAAAAGGAGAATGTCAGGGAAAAAACTTTGAATCCATGCTTCAGACAAATTAGTTTACTATTTGGCCAAAAAGTGATGTTTAATTTAAGATAGTGAAATGAAGCTCCACCAATTTTCATGGACTATATTTTTCTTCTTTTTAGGTCAGGAATAGCAATCTCCACTCCAGAGGTTGTTTTGAAGAGACTCAAAGCTCTAAGCCACAATGGTCCATTATTTGCTGTATCATTTCTGACTTTTTGGATTGCCTGGTCCCACCCAGGCTTACAGTTCCTTATCTGTCTCTGCCTGTATGACAGCTTCCTTACCATGGTGGATCTAAACCAGAATGCTTTGCTTGCTGATCTTGCTGTGTCTGCAAAGGATAGGACTGACCTCAACTTCTACTCTTCACTCTTTAGTGCCATTGGTTCCCTCTCAGTCTTTATGTCCTATGCTGTGTGGAACAAAGAGGACTTCTTCTCCTTCAGGGTATTCTGTGTGGCTCTGGCTTTCTGCTCAGCACTTGGGTTTACCTTGGCCACATGGCTGCTGAGGCAGTGGCTTCAGACAGATGGACACATGAAATGGGATGAAAATGAAGCATTAAAAGAGTGAGTGGTGTTGGGTTGTATAATATTTCTTCTAATTCTTGCCCAGTGGATACAAAATATTGTGGGTAAATAGCAGTCACTTTTTTCCAAGTATTGTTTTACTCCTTGTGAAAGAAGTGACAAAGACTTCAAATTTTAAGGAGATAGAATTGTAAAGAATATAGTTTTTTTTTAGAAAGCAGTACATGACTGAGCTTTCTGATCCATAATTGGTGGGAAACCAAGGAAACTATGCTTTCCAAATGTAGTGGAAAATGTAAATTACTAAACTATATAGGAATACGGTTTTGGCACTTCTGTATGGAGCTGTTATAACTGGGTTTGGCACTTAATCCCTCTGAACACTGGATACTTTTAATCCATACATGTGAAAGCTATGAGGTTTGTGCAGAACAAGTCTGTTCATTCTGGTACTCGAGGGCTTTTTCTGCTGGTCAAATAATATATATAATGCTAAGAACTGGCCTTCTTAGCAATTGTCTAAGATTATTTGATTGGATTTCTGGAAAGCATTTGGTTAATATCTAGCACTTCTAACCTTTGGGAGGTAAATGAAATAGTTTTGTTTTAGAACAGTGTTATGCAAACTTTTTAATGTTTGAAATAAAATGTTTTAATGTGTGCTCACTAGCTCCTTTTATTCAAAATTAAGGTGGCTTAATTAATTTTTAGGGCTGAAGGAGGGTGACTGGGAGGGTGAATTTTAGGGCTGAAGGAGGGTGACTGGCCCAAAGTCACCCAGTTGGCTTCATGCCTAAGGCAGGACTAGAACTAACGGACTCCTGGTCCTTAACCACTACACCAACTAACGGACTAGCCTGGTGCCTTAACCACTACACCAAACCATTTCTCTGTATATAATTTATAATTCAGTAAATAATAAAACCTGGATATTTGCAGTGCCCTCCAAAAGTTTAGAATTTTAATTCCCATCAGCCCTACCCAGCATGACCCAAGGGCAAGGATTATGCACTTGAGGCTCAAAATATCTGAAAGACACCAGGCTGTCCCCTTCTGATTCAGTATAGTTGGTGATAATTGTCTATATTTCCTCATGTCCTGTAACCTTTCCCATGAACTTTCTAGCTTTAATGTTGAGAGATACAGAAGAATGAAAGAAGATATCTGTATCTGCTGTGTGAATATACTTCAAGCCCAGTTGTACTATACTTGAGTGCTTTTTAAATGAACCCTGTAGCACAGATGGTTCTTGCTTGTAATGGAATGGTACCAAATTCCCTTTGAAAGTTTTACTGAAGTCCTCTTTTAAACAAATTGTATTCTGTGTTGCTTTTGGTTTGGTAACTGGATAAAAATATACCATTCTATGTAAGGGACAAGATAGAGAATATTATTCATTTGTATCTTGTTCTTCCAGGATATGATTGCTTTGGAACTTTCTCTTAGTTAGGTAAAGAGGGTAAAGTGCTCAAGAAGATAAGGATCTGAATTCACTACGTGGGCTGTCTTTAAAAAGTGGTAATTTGTTCCTGCAGATTATATATTGATCATCCTTCTAGAAATCGAGAGAAAAGAATCACGCTGGCTGAGTATCTCAAACAGCTCTCCAGGCATCACAATTTTCTATGGTTTGTCTCTATGAATTTAATGCAGGTAGGAGTTGCATAGTCTCTCTCTAACAAAACAGTACTAACTGCTAGGGAAAAGCCCAGTTAGCAATGTAGATAGAGACCCTACCCAGTAGAGTGGTGGTGATCTTCTGCATAATCTCATAAATCTCCCATGATATTCTCTGCCAATTGTATTCAATATATGTTTTGAATTACAACTCCCAGAATTCTCAGCCAGTCTGGTTGAGGAGCACATTGGCTAGGAATTCTGAGAACTGTAGTTCAACACATCTAGAAAGTGATAGATTGGTGAAGTTGGAATTAGGAAGTGGTGTTGATCTAAAAGATTTCAGAATGAATCTGACTAATCAGTCTTATCTTGGCTGTGTGTGACAAGAAGTCAGCTATTGGGAAGACTTATGCTAAACCTTCAGTTTCCTGTTTCTTGGAGAAAATAATTTGTATGGTGGGATAAGAACATTCCTGAAAACTCTAAATATCATTGTGCTTTTTTTTCACCCAGAGAAATGCAGTGTCTTCCCTTTGGGAAGAAATTTGAAGTTAATCTTCAAAAGCTATGGTATGCAATAAAACAAAGGTTCCTTTTCTGCATTCTTATCAGTGTACTTTCATATTACAGGAGGAAAGGCTGTGAGGCCATTCTGTCTTTAAACATGGGATTCCTATTATATGATGAGTAGAAGCACTGTTCTTAACATCTGCAGATGTTGATACAGTGTTAGTATTAATTGGCAGCGTAGACTCTGTGGTTTCTTTGCATGTTAGCAAAAGTAATGTACAACCAAAGTAATATATAATATGGTGTAAATAATTATTGTGTTATGAAGTCAGCTGTATCTGCATCTTGAAAGTATTAGAACACAACCTCTTTAGAATAATTTTGAGACCATGATGTCAAGACAGAGGCTTGTGTGAGAATATTCATATCTTCCTGCCTCCACATTTAATAGTTACTCTCTTCCCACGGTTTGTTTAGAGATGATTGTGCAATATAGGCTTCTTGGTTTCATCGTTCTCTGGAACATACTTGATTAGAGAAGTCAGTGATATGCAAAGTAATCAAATTGATTCTTTATGATCTGATACAGACCCATTGAACTGGCTTGAATATTTATCCTTTAGCTTGCATCCAAGTAGGATGTATGTGGGACAGGTATCTCATTGGCGATACAGTATATTATTTGTTCTCTGATTGCCCTTTTTAGAGGTCTCATAAATGTGTTTTACAGGTTTTTCACTGCCACTTTAACAGCAACTTCTTCCCTCTGTTCTTGGAGCATTTGCTGTCTGATCGCATCTCCCTCTCAATGGGATCATTTCTTCTAGGTAAGTCCAAGGTGGGACTAGTAGGAGGCACTGCTCAGCCATAGTTTCTTCTTTCCAGAAATTGTGCTCTAGATGTATTGGACTGCAACATATAGTGACCATGCTACTGGGCAATGGAAATGGTGTTTCAACACATATAGAGGTGCAAAGCTGGTAAAGCTGGACTGGAGAGTGGATGTTACTCCTCCTCAAAGATAGAAAATATATGATCCCATCTTAGCTGAAGCATTATGGTCACCATTGTCTGGAAATATTTTTTTTAAGCCAGTGTAACCAAGTCAATTTTATGCTTTGGGTTCTTAAGATAAATGGTCCCCAAAGTAACTTTTAGCTGGTTTACTCAAAATGTATATGCCTTCATTTCTTGCTGAGTAGATAGATGCGAAGAAGGTCATTACCAAGAAAAAACATATCTAGTTTGGCACTGACTGCAGGATTTTAGGCAGATCTCTTTTCCTACCCTACATCTAAATGCCAAGAGATTCTTCTGTATGTAAAGTAGAGACTCTGCCATTAAGCTCTGGCTCTTCTCCATTGATTCTGTTTGTCTCAGGTGTTTCTTATGTGGCTCCTCATCTCAACAACCTCTACTTCCTCTCTCTCTGCCGGAGGTGGGGTGTATATGCTGTGGTGCGAGGGCTTTTTTTCCTAAAGCTGTTGCTCAGTGTGATTATGCTCTTTGCTGGACCTGACTGGATCTACCTGCTCTGTTTCTTCATAGCCAGGTATTTATTGCTTCATTGCTATGACACTGGAGGATTGGGCTAGGTATAGACAATGGGCTACAGCTGCTATGGTAAAATATTTGACATGGATTCATGTCATAGAAGTGAAGCTAGACTCTTAACATTTTAATTCTGGGATGTATGCTTAACTATTTATACCTGTTGAGATACCAGTGCTCTCTTGGGGTGATTGAATTTGTGGGGGATCAGATTTCTGAAGCTCAGTGTTTTTGTTTTGATATTACAAATCTAACTCCTGCAGAATGAAGTGTTTTAAAATGTGCTGATATGGCTAAAGATTTGGTGAACCGAGCTGTGGTTGGTGCCAGACTGAGAAGCACATTAAAGCAGGGACAGGTGCTTTTGTTTTTTTTGGCTAGGGACCACATTTTTTATTATTTTTATTTTCATTAAAGTCAGACTGTAATGGGGGTAAATTTGATCCTTTTTTCATTGTGGGGAAGGAGGCTGAAAGGAAATAGATGCTTTATGCCCTGGAGAAACTTACCAACTTACCCATTTATTTATTTTTCATTTATTGGATTTATATAGCCACCCATCTCACATATGTGACTCTGGGCAGCTCATGCAATTAAAACAGTAAAAGTGAAAAACTGTCGAAACAATTATGTACAGTGGTTAAAGACAATTAAAGCAGTTAAAAGCTATAAACAGAAAACAGGAGAGTGCAATCAAAATCTTACATCCAATACAGCCATTTTGCAGGCTCTGTATTCCCATGAGAACCCAGGCCTGATGGCAAAACCAAGTTTTCAGGGCCCTCCGGAAGGCCAGTAGGGTCAGGGCCAATCTCACCTCAGTGGGGATGATGTTCCAAGGTTTTTCATATTTCTGATTGCAAAATGATTAAAAATTGCACCACTGAA